CGATGGCGCGGCCTCGCTGAATCGCATCGCCTGCCGCCGGCGTCTGCTGGGGATGTCGCCCCCGCCGCCTTAGACGTGGAGGGATGCTCGGGCCGGTGCCTGCGCCGTCCGTCCCACCGCCTTCTTTCCCAGCTGGTGTCCTCGTGATGCTTTCGCTAGGGCATCTCCAGCTGGAACTGGGTCCCCCCATCCAAATCAGGGGGGCCCTGCTTCGTTCTCTGCCCCATCGCGCCCATAAACCCCCTCCCTCCATCCGGGGGAAGGCTAAATACCGCTCGTGACGGTGAAAGCTCTAGGAGAGGCCTGTGCTGCTTGTTCTCCTCTCTATACCAGCCAAGGTCAACTGTTTCCATCCTGCAGGAACCGGTGGCCTTTAAGCGTGACGTCCACAAGGAGCGGACGCCGATCCCCCCGCTCTGCTCCCCTCCTATCTCTTGGGAGCCAACCTCCTTTTCATAACTGCCCCCGATCCTGCCCAGTCGCATCCAGCGATTCTGGCTGTCCCCCACCTGCGCGGATCATCTGATGCCATTCTGATGAAATACCGTTATTTTCCTACCAGGCACGTTTTAAGCAAGATCTTTTCAAAAGTGTTAACATGGCAGTAGTTAAAAACAGCCTTGCACAGTAGGATGCTGGTGGCTTTCTCTCTCTCCCCATTTTTTTAAGACAGGGAGAGCTGAAGGGAAAAAATGGTTTCTGCAGGTGGCAGACGGTGGACGGGAGCCACCCGTCCATCTTTGCTGTTCTCCTTCAGTCCAAACCCAATTCCCAGCTCGCCTTCGTGCTTGCTGACTGAACGGTTTCAGCCTCCCTCCGTTGAACACGATGCCTTAAAGACCTAAAGTGTCCTTCCCGGGACTGAGAACCACACGTCGGTGATCCAACATCCTCCCTGCTGGGTTGTGCCAAACCCGCCTCTGGCCTCGATCTGCGTGACGTTGAGTTCGTCTTGGGAGGGATTGCTGCGGGCTTTGTCCAATCCGTGTTGCAGGGATTGCGGACACGGGAGACCGGGTTAGCAGGAGCCCTGGCTGACCTAGGATGGTTGTTCCTGCAGTCTGTGGCCTGCGCTCTCCATCCCACTAATGCACCTGCAAAAAACCAGTCCGGTCTCCCTGTTGTGTTAGAAGAGGAGCAGCGTGCTCAGCAAGAGCAAAGCAAAGGGCGTTATGATAGCAAGGGAAATTTGGCTCTAAATGCACTCACCAACTGCCGATAATCCCTCACAAAGCACAAACCATGAACTCTGGCCAAGGGCAGGACCTTGGCATCGCTGGAGGCACCTCAGCAATAATGTCCACAAGCCTCACCTGAAAGAAAACATTAAAATGTGATTGTAGGGGTAGGGTGGTAGCGTCTTCTCTGAGATCCTGCAAGCAGCTGTGTTGCCCTGTCTCTAAAAGGAGAGAGCAGAGCACAAGAAGGGAAATGGATGGCCAAAACCTCCTGGATCATAGGAAGGCAGAAGGGATGCTATAAAAGCTCTGGAATTAAAGAAGAAAAGGAGACCAGGAGCTGCCTCCCTCCAACACTGGTCCTGCAGGATGGCAGTCTGGGTTAGGAGGTGGCAAACCAAGAAGCACCGGTGGTCTCCCATGCTCTGCTGTCAGAGCAGATGGGCCCTTCCAGTGACTGTCATCTGAGGCAGAAGATTAAGATCAAAAGAGGATTTGGCCATTTCTAAGGGATATTTTGCCATGCCAGAACTTAAGGTGTTGATTGTGTCAAGCAGTGAAAGGGAAACTTGCTTGCCTGGTCCATGAGGTTGGGGTTAGCTACAGTCCCCACACCCTTCCCTGGACCGCAAGCAAATACCCTTGGCCGAGCAGCCAAAGCCATGGACGGCACCAGCCCTTCGCCCAGAGTGGCGATGCAGATGTGGGGCAGGAGGGAACCAGGCTACTTCTCCCTGCAGTCCCACAAAGTCTTTGTAAGGCTTTCTTCTGGGAAGTCCCACCAGAAGGGCTGTTGGGGTGGCTGGGGCTGAAGTCCAAGTGTGTTTTGGAGACCCTTCCCATAGGAGACTTCCTAAAGGCATTCACCACCCG